GCCGCTCGATTCCAGACACAGCGCGTCACTCGAATGTTTTCCTGCGCGTCCTGCGACCTGCATCGCGCTATAACGCATTGTTAGAAGGCGCTAGAAGTTCGAAGAACCGATCGGCGCCGAACTCGCGTGTTAATTGAACGAAACGCTCGTTCGTAGGAAGCTCGTGGAGAAACAAACGAGATTTTTATTTCAGCGCCGGCGATACAGGTCGCACGTTCGAAGCGAAAATAGGAGGGACTTAAAACCGGGACACGTCGAACGACGCAATGAAAACGAAGCCGTGGAGAACGGCTCGCCGGTGTATATGAACTCCTGAATGCCGTTCGAACGGTTTCCGAACGCAAGCGAGCAAGGATTTTAATTAACGCGGCCGGCCACCGGTGAAAAATTCTGTTACCCGTGTTTTTTCGAAAGTGTTATCCCCCGGCTCGGATTCGCTGGGAAACCGCGGGTCACAGAGGATGCAGGGTTGCTTGTATTGGAAAGCGAAGGTTGAAAGTGAGTTCAGCGAATGCGCGGGATTGATTTTTTGAATACTGAAAGAAACGGTTTTCGGACGGATTTGTTTCTTTTCGACGGATTCGTATCCTTTCGAGTTTTGGAATATGATTCTTCGAGGATTCAAAGGCTGAATTTCGGACGTTGGAAATTCTTTTTCTTGAAAATTTCGATGGTCTGATTCTGTTTATATTTGCTGGTTGAAGATTGAATTTAAAATATTTTAGCTTGTTTCGGTGATTTTAGTGTAAGCTTCAGTTCAAATTTAACTGAAGATCTTAGTTGTAACAATATTTTGAATAAAATTTGAATTTTCCAGTTCCACATTTCTTTCTAGCAATTATCACTTTATAGTTAATATGTAATATCGCATTATTAGTAATATTAATACTGTATTATTTCTATTATAAAAGTATATTATTACTATTATTATTATTATTATTGTTACTTGCCTTTCTCTACATATAATCACTATGGTTTCTCTTACCCAAGATAATTATCACACTAAGTGAAAATAAAGACTCTCTAAAAGCGAAGAAGAGTTACCCAACCAGACAATATTATTATTATCATCATCATAATAATTATAATCATTACCAATAATAGTATTACATTATTAATATCTGATTATTACGATTAAACAATTTCATTGTCGCCATCAATACACTATTACCAATATTCTACTGCCGTCAGTGCACAATTGCACCATCATTACCATATCGCATTAAACACTCAAAATCACCCTCACTCCGCCATTCCACGAG